ATGCACAATAGCAACAATCTTTAAAAATACTATTGCAAATGTTTGGGGGTTTTGTTTGTTTTGGTTTGATCTGGCTACTGTAGTTTTTGCTATGGAAATAATCTGACCTATGGTAAACAAAGTAATGCAAGTTTGTTTTTATTTTATTTGGCTTAAGTAATTTTTAAATTCCTATTATAAAAATCAGAGGATTGCTACTAGATACAGGTTTTTTGTTTTGTTTTGTTGTTTTGTTGTTTTGTTTTTCAGGACAAGGTTTCTCTGTGTAGCCCTGGCTATCCTGGAACTGTCTTGACTAGCCAGTTAACCTATTATATCCTTATAAATAAATCTATGAAGATAGAAAAGTGGATCCGGACAAGAACAAGTTGCACAAGGACAGAAATTAAAACGCACCCATCTGAAGGATGATTTAAGCTGGAACTTGGCAATAAATTATTCAGCTTTTCAATATGATAAATTTACTCTCTCAAGATACTATTTTATTCTATTGAGATGGGGTTTTGCTTTGTATACCAGACTGGCCTCCACTTGCAATCCTTCTGCTCAGCCTCCAGAATTCTGGTATTACAGACATGCACCACCATGCTCAGTTTAAAGATACTTTTTAAACATTAAAATCCCTTAGATTTTTGGCTTCTAAGAAAAGAAGAAAGAATATAAATTTCAGGAAAGTAAGTTAAGGCAGAACTCTAAATCTATAAATGTGATCACCAGCATAGGCTACCTCTCTGCCCCACCCCCTCTCCTATTTTTGTTCTAAGATAGGGGTCTCATTATATTGCCCAGGTTGGGCTCTAACTTATAAGCTCAAACAATTTTTTAAGGTGAAGCTAGAATAAAGAAGTTTCTTGATCTATCAATAACAAACCTCATATAACTTAAGAAATAGATTCTGTGGGCCATTCTTAACTGATCTAGAGAAAAAGGAAAGGGCAAAGGGCACAGAAGCACAAATCATTCAACTATTTTCTGCCTCTATTTACAGAAGAAAAATATTGTAATCCACAGTGGATTAGCAAAGTAAAATAAAGACCATGAAATATTCAGTCTTAAAAAGGAAAGAAATTTTAACACATCAAAGTGTGTTAAAGTTATAGCATGGATAAACTTTGAAGACCTTATGTTAAATGAATTAAGTCAGTCACAGATAAAGAACCTATGACTTGGCAAATACTTATATGCATTATGTAGAGTAGTCAGTTTCAGACAGACAGAAGACAGAAGTGACTTACCTGTAACTAGAAGGGCAGAATGAGTTTAATATTTAATGGGTATGTATGGCTTTTCAGTTTTACAAAAGAGTTATAGCAATGGATGATTACAAAACAATATGTATATATTTAATTTCACTAAACTGTACTTTTAAAGAGATCAGGATAGATTTTATTTCATAATAAAAGAGCTAAAACAAAGGTTGTCATATCTAATTTTTTAAAAACTAGTTAATAAAAATTCATGTCATAAATCATAATGAGCACCAGACAGAAGTGTGGCTGGCAATCAAATACGTTTAGATTTTGGTGTCCTTAGTCATAAAATGAAAAGAGAAAAAGACAAGAGAACTCAATCCTGGCAATTAGTCCTGCAGTAGTGAAGAGCTAGTAATGACAGGGGGTGTGGGAGACATTAAATAAAAACTACCACACAACCCTGTAGCATCCTAGACTTGTGACAGAAAGGCCCCTACCTATGCTCTAAAGAGAGGTTGGTTTGGTACCTGAGGTAACATGTAATCTGGGATATCACTGGACCTAAACACAGATTTACTGAACTAAGGACATAAGCACTTAATCACACTGCAATCATAACCACAGCAAAAAACGTGTTTTCGGCTAAACGCCATTCTAGAGGGTTAGCTCAGCTTTGTGATCAAAACATAGAACACATAGAAGTGACTGACTAGACTAAGACTATTTCTTGGCTTTCTTATGTTTCAGGCACCATCTAAGATATTACCCTATGCTAGTATTTGGTCAACAGTCCACACTCAGCTTAATCTATCCTTTATCTAAGCTTTTTCTACATATGAATATTTTCTACCATGATACTGTCTTAGTTAGGGTTTTATTGCTGTTATGAGACACCATGACTATAGCAACTCTTATAAAGGAAACCATTTAATTGGGGCTGTCTTACAGTTCAGAGGTTTAGTCCATTATTGTCATGGCAGGAAGCATGGTGGCATGCAGGCAGACATGATGCTGGGGAGAGGTAGCTGAGAGTTCTACATTTGGATCCACAGGCAGTAAGAAGAGAAAGTGAGTCAGTAGGCCTGGCTTGAGCTCAGTGACACACTTCCTCCAACAAGGCCAAACCTCCAATAATGCCAATCCCTATGAGTCTATGGGGGCCATTTTCATTTAGACCACCACAGCTTCATAATGTATGTTGGTATGCAGCCTCACACCCACCCCTCAGACTCTCTTTCCTGAAGCATCAGGCCTCAAATCTACATTTCTAACCCATCGGCAGCGCTCCCATCAGTTTCCAGGTGTAACACTAGCAAAAGCACAGGTTCCTATTTGTCAAGGTTCTGAAGCACTGGTGGAGACAGGTTTTGTGGGCACTGGTTTATAGACATTTTTTCCTTGTTGCTCCTTCAACACTTCATTTTCTGACAAATTCCTAGAATTACATATTCCCTTTAGATCAAAGCATCTGAAGTTGTTTTCTGGCTATATGGCAACTTATACTTGTGGAGATTAATTTTTGTCAACTTGACACAAACTTAGACACACCTGGGAAAAGAAAATCTCATTAGAGAATTATCTTCATCAGACTAGCCTGTGTCTATAAGGCACTTTCCTAATTGCCAATTGGCAATGCTATCCCCAAGCAGATGTGTAAGAAAGATAGCTCAATGGCCAGAAAAGGCAAACCAATAAGCTATGTTCCTCCAAAGTTTTTGATTTCAAGGTCCTGCCTTACAGTCAGACTTTCCTTTGGGCTGCCAGCTCACTCCTAAATAATGACATGGAGACTTCTTATTAATTATGAAAGCTTGTTTGTTCCTAACTAGCTCTTATTATAACTTGAATTAACCCATTTCTATTAATCTATGCCCTGCAACATGGCTTATGGCTGTGACCTTCCTCCTGCATGTCCTGCTTCTTCAGAGTCTCACTGATGTCCCTAGTGTAGGATCTCCTCTTCCTCTCTCTGCCCAGAGGTCCTGCCGATCTCTCCTGCATAGCTGTTTACCATTTATCTTTTTCTTACACCAATCACAGCAATACATCTTCAGAGTATACAAATATCCCACATTTCCCCCTTTTGTCTAAATAAAAAGGGAAGGTTTCAACTCTAACACAATAAAACTATACAGTAAGAACAATTATAAAGTAAGAAATACATTCACAATGTCCAGTCCATTAGTATTGGCAAATTCAAAGAAAATACTCCATTATCTATCCTATCTTGCTGAGTCCAAAGTTTTGTAACCTGAACCATTTTATACCAAAAGTTGTATTACCATCCTAAAAATATCTTTTTATACCTAAAAGCATCTTCTTATATAAACAACTTAAGCTTTTATGTTCTTCAACCTTATAAACTTTACATCTCTTATGTAAGGTTTCTCTTCTGAATTTGGTACCAAGAAAAAAAATATAACTGTAACTACCTAGTCTTTAACCCCATCAAAGACCCAAGAAAGATATAATATTACCTGAGTAAATAGAATAATAAAAAGTGTAGAGCAAACGACTTCCAAAATTATAGAAATGACAGAGACAGCTGACTAACTAGACAGTCAACTCAAGAATCCTCTGTAATGTTGTGGCATCCATCTTTGGCCTACAGACCTAGAATATCTGCCAGACTTTTCTGTGAAGCAGGAATTTTTGAAGGACTGTCCTACCTTGTCTTGGCAAAGTTTAGCAGTCACCTTGTTTTGTGTCCTGCTTGTCCAATTTTGACTACATACTGTCAGCAGCTGAGGCAAGGGCAGTTTCTTGCCCAGTAGCTAATTTTGCCACAATGAAAGCAAACTCCATCTGGAGGTTCTTTTGTGCTCATCATCCTTTTTGTTTGCTTGTTTTTTTGTTTTTCAAGACAGGGTTTCTCTGTGTAGCTCTGTGTAGTCTCCTAGCACTGGCTCTGGAGACCAAGCTGGCCTCGAACTCACAGAGATCCGCCTGTCTCTGCCTCCCTAGTGCTTGGATTAAAGGCGAGTGCCACAAACGCCCAGCCCATCATCCTTTTTTAAAGTAAATTGGTACTGCCAGGAGTAGATGTGTATCACTGTCATGAAAAACTTTAGATTACTAAAACATCTTGGATGTCATATTCTATAGGTCTATGAAGTATTTGAAGACCATCTATCTATCTAAAATATATCTGTTTGGCCTAATATACCTAACATGGCCACAAATTTGATTGTTAGATAACTAATTACTAACCTGTATATCTTAATTATACTAAATAGTTTGTAATAGTAACTTTCAAGGGCTAGAAATTTATATTACATTGTTAAATAAACCGCATAGGTACAATACCTTAAACAAAAGTAGAAGCATATATATATATATATATATATATATATATATATATATGTATTATATAAATATGTAAGAAAAAACCTTAAATTTATATCAATATACAAAAGTATCTTAAACAAGAATAGAAACACATATAGAAGAAACAGAGAGAGAGAGAGAGAGAGAGAGAGAGAGAGAGAGAGAGAGAGAGAGAGTCTAGCAAGGGAAAATAATACACAAGATAAATAAGTGAATGAAATATTGGAAAAAGGTGAAATTTTAGTTGTACTAAGATGATTTCTGGGAAAAGACCCAAGGCAGCAAGAGATCAATCACATTCACCACTACAGGAAGAACATTCCAACAGAAGGTAAAACTTGTGCAAAGGCCCTAAGGAAGGAGTCCCCTAAGCAGGCTAGATATAGCAGACATCCTCTGTGGTGACAATACTTAAAAGGGAAACTACAAAGTGAGGAGGGAGGCAGATTCTAAATAGAGGAGCAACATGATATAACTCACCTATCACTGGAGTCCAGCAGTATCAGCAATAGACGGTACTGGACAAGAGCAGAAGACAATAACCAGCCAAATAAGCTTGAATGACAACTGAAACCAAAGTGGTAACAGTAAGGATGCTGTGAAAATTCTGATCCTTAAAAATCCAAGAGCTGGTCCCAGAATCTTCCTGGAATTCAAACACAAGAAATTTCTATATAAGGCTAAAGATGGCTGATTAGGTAAGGATATTTGCTACCAAACCTAGTAACCTGAGTCAATCCTGGGACTCACATGGAAGGACAAAGCCAACTCCCAAAAGTTATCCTCTGACTTCCACATGGGTACCATGGCTCAGATATATACACATGCAAAAACATACACAATAAATAAGGGGCTAGAGAGATGGCTCAGTGGTTAAAAGCATTTATTGCTCTTGCAAGGATCCAAATTTGGTTCCAATACACATGCTCCGAATCCCAGTACTGCTAGAGGCAGAGACAGAGGCAGAGGCAGGCAGATCTCTATAGTTTAAGCCAGCTTGTTCTACACAGCAAGTTCCAGGCCAGCGGGGGCTTAAAAAAAAAAAAAAAGGCATAGCTTGCCACTCTGCTGCTGTGATAAAACACTAACCAAAACCAACTTGAGAAAGAAAGAGTTTATTTCAGTTTACAACATTCAGGTCACACATTCATCACTGAGGAATCCATGCAAGAAACCTCGAGGTGGGAAGTAAGGCAAAGGACATGTAAGAATGTTTCATACTGTCTTGTTCTCTATGCCTTGCTCAACTTAATTTTTAATTTTACATTTATTTATTAGTAAAGGGAACACATGCCATGGCATGCATTGAAAGGTCAGGACATCTGTGACAATCAGTTTTCCTCTATCATCTGGGTCCTGGAAATAGAACTCAGATCATCATATTTAGTGACAAGCATCTTTACCTGCTAAACCATCTCCCTATGCCTCAGCTAGAATTTTTTTATGCAACCAGTACTACCTGCCCAGGGATAGCACCAAGGACATACAGCTAGACATTCTCACATGAATAATTAATCAAAATAAACTTCCTTCTGACCTACCTACCTACAGGCCAGTGTTACAAATGTTCTCAGCTGAGTTTCTTTCTTCCAGATGACCCAAGCTTATGTCAAGTTGACAAAAAAATTAACCAGCACAGAAAATAGTTATTTCCCCCTGAGCTGGTGAGATGGCTTAGCCTGTAAAGACACTAACCTGAGTTTGAACCCCAAGACCTACATATTGTATAAAGAGAGAACTGACACTCAAGGGCTGTTTTCTAACTGCCCACAGGTGTGCCACAGCATCCATGCACTCACCTACACACACACACACGCTTGGTGGTGTAAGCCTATAATCCCAGCAGAGAGGCAGAGGCAGAGGTCTACAAAGCAAGTTTCAGAATGGCCAGGGCTGCTGCACAGAGAAACCCTGTCTCAAAAAAATCAAAATAAATAAATGTAATTTTAAAGTTACATTAAAACCATTATTTTGTTTTTGTTTTTGTTTGTTTGTTTGTTTTGGGGGGGTTGTCTTGGAACTAGCTCTTGTAGACAAGGCTGGTCTCAAACTCACAGAAACCTGCACGCCTCTGCCTCCCAAGTACTGGGATTAAAGGTATGCATCACCACCGCCTGGCCACAAAGCATTAAGTTTTTAATTAATGAAAGAAAAATTTAATTTCTAGCAAAATATTAATACTATAAACTCTACCTGAAAAACCAAATTGCCAAGATAATGTTTACATTTGAAATAAATACTTTGAAAGTATAATAAACAGCAAAATAGTATACTGTTAATAAAGGGCACTTCATCTCTTCTAAAACTTGCTGCCCTGCCACTATTCTCCAGCAACAGACAGGAATTAAATTTTTGGCCCTTTTCCTCCCATTTTACTCCAATCAACTTCATTTTTAAAATTATTAAAAATATTGTATTGTGCCAGAAAAGGAAAATGCTTAAAAACACACAGAACATTAATCAAAACAGTAAATGATTAATATATAAGCACTCCATATAGCTCTCCCTCAACAATGAGAGAGAAATAGGGGAGTTTTACAGATAACAAAATTTAAAAGCTGGAGCCTACTTATCATACAGTGTAATTCTTACAGTGCTGTTATGTTCACAGCCCCATGTTAACAGTTTACCCACTGATATTAGGTAACTAGCTCACTCCACTCCCAGGCAGTGGAGTGGACCCACCCACAGCTCTAGGTCTAACTGCCAAGGGATGGCTCTGGCTGCTGCTACTCTCAAAGAGGAAGAACTGGTAGGGACCTCATAAAAATTAACAATTACATTAAAGAGGATGCAGCACAAAAACTCAAAGCTTAGTAAGTTATTTTAAAAAAAATGTCAAATTACTTTCTTACTAAAAATTACTTTCTCCATTAGAACCTGAAATATTTTGCCTGGTACAGTTGTGCATATTATAATCCTCGAACTTGGGAGGTGCAGGTAGGAAGAGTAGGAGTTCCAAAGTCATCCCTGAGTCATCCCTGCCTAAAAGTCCAGTCTTGTCTCAAACAATATAAAAAGTCTCCAAATATTTAAGCCTATTAGTAATTTCTACACTAACAATACAGTATCTGAGAATCCACAGATCAATTAACTGTCTAGACAACACTCTACAAAGATGGTAGGTAGCCCATGCATGCTCTGTCAACATTGTCCAGAGTAGATGCTATTCCTTTCTGATAGCACTTCAAGCATAAGCTCTTTTGTGTCACATCCTATGCTGGTACTGTAAACTTCTCAAGGGAATAGAACTTACTCAACTGTGCATTTTTAAAACCTCATAGACCAGGGCTTCACATCGAAGCTACTTAGCTACTTGTCACATGAATTTCTGCATTAGATCAAGGTGCTTAATTAACTCTCTAATGTCTAGTCCTAGTGAGCCCAACGCAGCTGGTAGAAGTGCAGGAGTTATTAAGTGCTGCCTGTAAATTCCTTAGGCAGCATCCAGAAGCATTTGATTGGTTCTCAGTCCTCTTGAAATACTATCAAGTTAAAAGATGCCTCCAAAGTACTGGGATCCCCCCCCCCCCACACACACACACACTTCTTGTGTAAGCATTGTATAGTACAACTTGTCAGGTTGCCCTGTTATTTATAAAGTCTTTCACAGTACAAAGAACTAAACTAACCCTAAGCAATTGCTGGTGGTGGTTAATCTCAATTGCCAATTTGATAAATCCTCCATCAACTGAAAAAACAAGTTTCTGAGCATACCCGTGAGGGATTATCTTGATTAAGTTAATTGAGGTGGGAAAACCTACCCACTGAGGGTAACAACATTCCCTCAGGTCGAACTGTATAAAAGAAGGGAGCTGAGCAATAGCATTCATCAGGCTTTGCTTCCTAGCAGTGGATACAATGAGACCAGTTCCTTCAACCTCCCACTGCCATGACCTTCCCACCAAGACTAATCATACCAAAACAAACCACTTTCTCCCTTAAGCTGCTTTTATCAGGATATTTGGTGACATCAGGAAAAGTAACAAGTACATTGTTGAGAGAGATCCACATTTCTTTTGCTCAGAACACTTCTAGAAACTCCATAAAACTCAAGTTTTAACTATAGTTAAGACTTTGTCACAAATCCAACTCTCTAACATCCCTTTGTCTACCTTTATGAGTTTAAAACAAACAAACTTGCTAGAACACAAAATAAATGTCAGAAAGACAACCATGGAAGAATGAGAGAACACGTAGAATGAGAAGGACTCTCACAGGGAAAACCACCAATGCTGCCAGAATTACCTATCCATAATAGCTACGGGCTAGAAATGTACACCATGGGGAAAAAAATAGAAATGCTCTAGCAAGGATTGCTAAATATTGCTATAGTTTGGGTCTTTTAAAAATATTTATTACTTTTAATTATGTGTAGGTGTGTCTGCATGTGGACATGTGAATTTGAATGCAGGTCCCACAGAGGTTAAGAGGGGTTGGATCCCCTGAAGTTACAGACACTTGTGAGCCACCTGATGTGGGTGCTGGGAAGCAAAACTGGGTACTCTGAAAGAGCAGCAAATGCTCTTAACTACTGAGCCATCTCTCCAAGACCTGAAGTCCACCCCCACAAAGGCCATGGAGTTGGAAGATTTGGCCCGTGGCCTTTGGCATTTCTGAGAAGTAATGAAACATTTAAGAGATGGAGCCTAATCTAATGAAGTTAGGTCATAGAGGTGGGCTCTCAACAATGACTGTGGGACCTAAGTCTCTGTCTTTGCTTCCTAGCTACTATGATGTAAACAGCTTGTTCTGTCATAGCTTCCTACATCTAGGTATTGTCATAGCTTGTCCCTAAATCACAAAGTCAGGTGGTCACAGACCAAAACCACATGCCAAAATAAAGTTCTTCTCTTTATAAGTTGATTATGTCAGGTATTTCTTAGTGGCAGAAAGCTAACAAACACAGGATTTTGAGATTGGGTCTCATGTATTTGAAGTTGGCCTGAAACTCAGTAAGTAGCCAAAATTGACTTTGGACTTTGGGTCCTCCTTGCCTTGGTCTCCCAAGTTCTGGTATTATAGGTGTATGCCACCATGCTCCATTTATGTAGTTCCAGAGATCCTAAATTCAAATTCCCAGCAGCCACATGGTAGCTCACAACCATCTGTAATGAGATCTGGTGACCTCTGCTGGTTTGCACTGTATATAAAATAAACCTTTAAAAAGAAGAAGAAAAAGAAAACAAATCAGAATTTTAAAAAGACAAAAAAGAAATTTGGGCATGCACACACACACACCCCACCCCTCAAAACCCATAACACACAAAATCGGAAGCCTTGATATACAAGCAACAGATCATTAAGACAAAATGCCTAAGCAAAGCCGTATGTGAGAAAGTCTACCAATAGTATTGAGTTCATTTTGTTTGGGCCATCTACTGCTGGGCATGGGGCCTACCTTTAGTGTGCTTAATATACCCAATGAGACGCCACTGGAGAAAACAAATTTTTTCCTTTCCAAGTGGATGTCAACTGGAGATAGCTTCTTGATTCGTGATGGGAACCCATGTCCACTTCTCCCTCCAGCACTGGGATCCATCTGACTTTGAACCTGTACAGGCCCTGTATATGCACCCAGTCTCTGTAAATTCGTATGTATTGACAGTCTTCTTATGTCTGAAAGACACTATTTCCTTGGAGTCA